TTCAAGATTTGGGCACTCAGTTTACAATTCAAGTTAGAGATCTATTTGAGATCCCGCAACCATAAAACATAGGAGAAATAGGTTTCTTAGTGAAGATTTTTCAAGCTTAACCAATTAACCTTATAAGAAGCAAACATTAACGGTCATCTTGAGAGCAAGTGGATCACATGAACAGTATAATACTACACGACAGGAGCAGGTTCGTAACAAAAGGGTTGTGAGAATTTAGAATGAGGTCCCAAATGTCAAATGAATCAAAATAGGCACCGACAGAAAGTTAGACGAGCTAAAGGACGGCTCCATGCCTCGTGGCAAGTATTTATTAGATGGAGTAACTGTCAACGAAGGTGGTGAGTCTTCATACTTGTCTTAAGATGGTTCTCTTCTATAGACATTATGGCAAAATGTAAGCAGTTGTCGTGGTTGAGGGGTGTTTTCAGGAATTTATAACATCCACAGAGCCATGGAACATTTGCTGCAAATTATGCTCCCAATCATGCCAGTTGTTGAATTTTTTTACTACCTCATAACCCTAAAACACACGGACTCTAGTTAGGGCACGCGTCACTGAGCAAGCAGATTGGAAGCCAGTCACTACAAGACACAGTGGAAAGATCGAACGAAAGCGTAAGTGTGGCACTCGGTAAGTTATTCAACGTATTATTTGGGTTCTTATAAAGCACGAGGAAGTTACTGCCAACGTGCCCAAATTATGCAAAGCACACATAATCGCTTCCTATACGAGATAGTCCAGGCGAAACGTCTATGTAACAGCCAGCCAGCCAAGACAGAAGTAATGTAAAAGCCATAACAGCCCTGGCATCTGAAAGCCGTCCAATCACAAGGCCCGAGAGGTTATCTTTTGGGCTGACGTGGGAAGCAGCAGTTTGAGTAAATACTGACTTCTCTGGCATGATACCCGGACTCGAGTTTCCCGCAAGCAGGCACAGCCGAACAAATGGAACTCTGAAAAGGCAACCACCAGTTGCGCGTCTAAGCAGTACCATGAAGTCATGTCGACATCCAAAGAGGACCGACTAAATCAAAGTGTTAGAGTTAAGTACCGAGATTTGAGACATATTCAGCAAGATACATTCCCAACATCGATGTTCAAAGGCAATCGCCTAATGTCGCTGACTTAACAGCGCAACTGCTCATAAACGGCAGAACTCCCGATTGTCGAAGGATTGAACCTCTAATTTTTTGGAAGATGGGTGAGTCACGAAACCCATCTTCAACATGAACCGAAGAGTAAATAGTCAAACAAAAAGTATAAAATGTCGTTTCTTTTTACTCTGTGCAACAGCAGAATATTGCAAAAA